ATTGCAGATTGCAATTCGTGGTGCGCGGATGCCTGGCCAGTACAAGGCCAATGCAGAAAAAAACTTGTCAATGCTCGCCGGGCCTGAGCAATCACTTGTGCGTCACAATCACCTCAACGCCACGCGGTGCCTCAATGAGCACCCTCTGTGGCTCGCCCGAATTTGCTGGGGCTTCCTCAATCCAATCGTGCTGGCTGCAGGCGCGGGCCTCAATGCCGTGCGAATTGAGAAGCGACAATGGTGGGACGCCGGCAATGCCGCAAAAGGCCAATGGCATCCTCAAATGCCGATGCACCCCCACGGTGCTTCGGCCTGTTTGGAAACAGTCCTTGAAGAACACCGCCAATGGCTTGCCGCACTGTAATCTGCAATCGGAGGGCGAATGCGTTGGCAATGTCCTGCGCAGACAGTGTCAATACACCATCTTCTGCAGTAATAATGCCGCAATACGTGGCACTGATATACGAGCAATTGTGCCACTGCAATTGCCCTCCAGTCCCGCAACGGGACTTCATGTTGCCAATGCAATGTGCTGCGTCTGGCTTCCAGAACAATGCACTCAATGTCTCCTTCCTCAATCACTCCTTGTCTGCACCAATGCAAGCACTTGCTCAATGCAGTCTGCAGGGTGAGGCAAGGATTCAATTGATGCATCGGAAACATGCTCACGTCCAATGCAATGGCCTGGGTCAGTGAATCAATCCACCGATCCGGCAATACCAGCACCCAGTGGTAGGGTGCAATCGAATTGCCAATGTCTCTTGCGCCCTTGTAGGCCAATCTGCAGTTGTAGGCAATGTCCCGAATCCAGGCGTCGCCATCAACTCCACCCCAAATGGGGATGAAAACCAATGGGGTAGCCGACACAATAGATCCCACGAGAATGCCTTGCAATGTTTCCACGAAGCAATCCACAATGTAGGTGCTTGTTCCAATGGGCATCTCAGAATGAGCCCAATTGCTCGTGCAATAGATGTTAAATGCCGCCAATGTACACGGAAGTGTACTTTGCCACAATGCACCTTCATAAATACAATAGATGCGGCATGCACGGCAATGGTAGCTCTCGAGTGCACTGGCAATGTCACGCAAGTGACTCAATGCCAATGCTTGGCCGGTGGCAGCAATTGAAACAATTGCTTGCTCAAGCATGGCAAGAAGCAATGCCACATCATTGGAGGACTCAATGTCCGCCAAGAAGAGAGCAATCGCCAAGCCCAATTGGGCTAGCGTTCTCAATCTCTCTTCAATGCTTGCGCTCGTGATCGTGGCAATGTAGTTCCCAATCTGCTCCATGGCACCAATTGGGAAGAGGCAAATACAATGCTTGTCGCGCTAAGGGCTCCAATGAAGGCTGGAGCAATGCAATCGCAATCAGAAGCTTACTCAAGAACTCAATCACAAGTGCAATCCGAAGGAGCTCGCAAATGCTATGTACAAAAGAAAATCATGTCGCAATCTGCTTCTCAATCACATGACATGCCAAGGCAATGTTTCCTCAGATCTGATCCTTGGAGTTTGACAGGTGGCCGACA